TTTCCCCATGACTGGAATAGCCTACACGTCTTGTTAACTGCTGATGTTTTGCTGTGACTGGGTTGAGGTGTAAAAGGAGATAAGACAGGGTAAAAGTTCCCAGTAATACCAAATCTCCTCCCCTATTGTCTTGTATCCTTAAATCATGGTAAAGGAAGACTGTTGGCATCAGTTTCTTAGGCAGAACAACGTGTAACATCCTGTACTGACCCAGACTGAGTTAAGACAACAGACAGCTAACTGCCTGTCTATATACAGTGTATTATTTAAAGTAAGTTAAATAGTGTTAGTGATTGTATTATTTCTGTTCTCCTTAATAATATATTATTTAGGATGATAACTGTGTCAGAACCGGTGCTTTATTTTAGTATGGTATGGTATATTATATAAATATACCATGGGTTCTGTGAACATTATCATCACATGCACAAACTCTGTTTTGTTGTTGTCATTTTGTATTTAAGGGTTTTTGTTTCTTTATCATCATAAAAGCATTGTTTGATATTTATTTCCTCTTCCTTCTCAACAATCTCACAAGCTAATAATCCTCCCCACACATTCCTGCTCCAGGCCACGTCAGATGCCACTTGAATCAGGAACAGACAACTTGTCCTGCGCTGAGGCAGCTTGCCCAGGATTATCCGAGGCATCGCATTCAGGCCAGGCAGTTCTTTCTTTGGGTGCCCATTGTTCAATAACCCCCTCAGATACATCAAGTCAACCACACAAAAAAACAGACGTGCATTTTACCCCGACTGCACTTCAACCGGGACCATTACCAGGTGTACAAACCTGTGCCCAAACTTGGAACGTCAGCTCCAATCAGTGAGAGTGCAAACCTGGAACGAGGAAACTGAGGGAAAGGTGAAGGGATACTGAAGGGAATTAAGCATTACCGTGGAGTGTGTGGACACCTGATATTTGCCGTAGTCCTGTTTGTATTCTCCCCTCTTTTTGCTGTGGGAGTCTGTATCGCTGATATTTATTCTGGAGAGTGTTGTAATGTAAATGGGAAAGAAATGGATGACCCATAGACTGCTTATAAATACAGTCCCTACATAATCTACTGTATAGGGATTTGTATTTATCACAAATTGTGACCCTAACAGAGAAAACCAACATTTTTCTTAACCTTTTACAGGTACAAATGATTTATTGTTTATAGCTATTTTCTTTCTGTTTTTAGACTGGTTTACCATATTTCCATTGCATATTAAATAGACTAAAGCACTCTATTGCATTTAGAATCTTACATACTTTATGTTTAGTTAGGTTTATGTGATCTTATGTCATACAGTAGTTGAGGGTGGGAACAGCACTGGAAAAAGTGTCCTGTGGTTCATTCAAGAAACCTCCAGCATTCAAGTACTGCTTCTCTAGTTGGAAACGCTAAGCTCAAAGACAGTGACAAAAAGAGCTGAACTGTGAGAAGATTGTAATTTTGTGTGACTTATGTCTTTACACTAAGCCTGATGATGGGACAGGGAAAAAACAGTTATAAATTATAATGCATTTAGAAAATGTACCTGTATTTTGTTTAAAAATGGAAAGGAAGATTGTTTAGGCCAGTGGTTCTTAACCTGGGTTCGATCGAACCCTAGGGGTTCGGTGAGTCGGTCTCAGGGGTTCGGCAGAGCCTCCGCCGTGACATGCACGGCTCATTTTGTGCACCAGTAAAAAACATATGTATGTCTTGAATTTGAAAAAAAAAATCGTATTTTATTTTTCACTAAAGAGGGGTTCAGTGAATGCGCATATGAAACTGGTGGGGTTCGGTACCTCCAAAAAGGTTAAGAACCACTTGTTTAGGCTAAGAGGTACTGTTTACAAAGTACAAGAAAAAATAACCAAAGACAACAAAAGCTCATGATTTAGATTCTAAAAAACAAACAAAATTAAAACATGTATTATATAATAATGACAGTCATCACAACTATTTAAGAAAAGAATTTAAAACCATTGAATTTGCATTGGATGTGCTATTTAGAAACTAAAAAAAAAATGTTTTAAAAGATCTGTACAGTTATGTTCCTTCTCTTGAATGTACCTTTTAAATCTCTTTTGACAAAATTTTATATTTATTTTTCTTAAATGATTCAAAAGAACTTTAAAGCGCTTATGAGTGTACTTTCCTTCAAAGACTCTATTGTACCCCCCATTGTTCTATTATTTTGTTGTTATTTCTAGTATTTACTGAGATCCTTCAAATATACTCTCTCATGTCGACTGCGCCATCTAGTGGCATTACACAGTACGACGCTTCTGCTGAAACGAAATAATACACATAAAGGCAAAATGTTTTTTGTCCACAGTTACGTAATGCTCCCACAAACTTTGTAATGTAAATCACGACAGCTTAATAACTCAAGTGGCACAACATGTTGAGGTATGCTGTTTAATATTGGGAGGAGATACTTCTTCCACCCATAAAGGTGATGTGGAGGATAAAATTTAGGTTACTATGTTGTTTTGTTTTGTTTTTTGATGTTATTTTTCATCTACTTTCACTTGTTACTTTATCAGGGAATTCTGGACTGTAGTTACAAAATCAAATCATTGCATTTTTAGGTAGCATCAACGGCTATCTCAGGGCACATTACATTGTAAGCAGCCTACATATTTGTCATATTTGTCACATTTGTCATATTTGTCACATCCTACCCAGGGGTATTTTAGTCAGAGGAAAATCACCAGCACTGCAACATCTTTTTTTCTTTTTTTAAACAATGTTTATAAATTGGAGTTTTGTTTAGGTTTTTTTTTTTCATGTTTATTTTATCAGATGGTCATGAATCATAATAATATAAACTTGTTGAGAACATTGTATGCGCATATGTGGAGTCATCAGCCAAAAGCTCATTGTGACAGTCATTGCCAACCAACCTGTCTTGTGACCTATTAATAAAAAGTCATTTTCATTTCATACCCTTCATCACATTCAGAATTTCTTTGAGTTGTTGAATGTTCTTAACATTCTTGCTTGTTAAGCATTTTTAAACTGTAACCTCAATATATGATTTTCCCCCCTGCCCCATTTGTAATGGGATCATGAGATCCCATTTTGTGTTTTCCTGAAGGGATCACTATCTTAGAGATCATTGAACTTGACTATTAAACTGGCAAACAGTAATTCATCAACATTATTTTTGAATTTGTACCCTAACTAAATAAATTTTTGATACTGTTACTTTTTAAAATTAAGATTTTTATTTTATATTCTTAGATCAGTTAATATTGGTGGATTGACACTTTTACTTGAATAAAAGGGACGAAATTGGACCATTACATAAAAAAAGGAAAGGAAAAAACTTCGCACCTGACCCTCTCAGAATCAAGTGTTTTTTGTGCAATGTCTTAATTTACCTCAGAGATAAGTGAGGTATAAAAATGTAGGCCTTTTATGGACTATAACTCATTTTGACTACTACTCGTCTCACAAAGTGATATTGGCCCTTGAAAGTTGACCTCAAATTAAGATTTTAGCCAGTGAATGATCAGAAAAGGGATAAAACATCCAGGGTACCAATGTTAGTTTCTATTATTCTACATCAGACATTAATTTGGTGCCGTTAAGACTGGCAAATCCCATGACACCAATACTGGTTACAGAAATAAACAATGAACAAAAACAAGACTAGATTTATCATTTAGAACATGACACTTGGAGAGATTTGACTGACTAGGTTGCAGGGCCTCAATGAGTTTTTCAGCCCCTTGTCTCCCCTGAACTAAAGTTATGAAGGCTCTCGAATGTTATTAACTCACAAAAATATAATGTGAATTAAAAAGAACCACATCTGGAAAATGTTGAAGAAGAAAAAATCCATTGATTTATAAGGCGCTTGGGTGTGAAGCACCAATTGATTGCTGATGGAAAAAACATTAATATTAAAGAAAAGTGGGGGGAAAAAAGGAGTCTACATTGGGGATCAAGGTTTAGCCTGTTATTCATTGCAAACATTTATTACATTTCATATGATGCAAACAACAGTAAGTCCCACCCTTGCTGGAATAGCTCATCATCTTGTCATGAGGGAATTAAAGAGACACAAAGGGACAGGGACAGAAAAAAAAGTATGTATTATGCGCAATTCCATTGTTTCCTTACAAAATAAAAACAAAAACATAACAATCATCTCATAGTGAATTTTGGCATCTCCTTCTCTCCTGTTGTATTGTGGAGTAATGGTAAATAAAACAAAAAACTCAAAAGAACAAGGCATGCATAATAGTATCTGGTAATGCACATAGATCAAAGGATACCACTTATAAATACAAAATCCATGTACGATGTTTGTGTACATTTCATATATATGGTCCCTTTCTTAGGTGTCTTAAGCCTATCTACCTGTTCCCACTGTGGGACGTGTCTTCTGCTTGGTCACTAGATTAACCCTGTGAAAAGGTCTGAGCAGGAACGTACATCTGTAGTATGAACTTCTAACAGTGATGACTACTAGACGTTACATCTGGCTGTTTATTTTATTCCTCGCTTCATTTCTTACTGCATGTTATTATAAAGATATTTATTGCAAAGTTCATTTAATTTATTTAAATAGTCTTCCTTGCATCAACTGACCATTGTGCTACCTACACAATTTCAAACCTTATCAGAGTTACAGCCAGTATTACTTCTATTAAAACGTTCCTCTTGTTAGTTATGTTACCACCCCATGCTTCTCTTATGTAAATTTAAGAAAGAAAAAAAAGAGAAAAAGAAAGGG